GATTCGTGCAGCTTTCTCCTGTGACATTAGAGCTACTCCATTCCACCGCGGCTGCTTGGGAGCTTGTAAGATAAAAGGCATATGTACTTGACTCTATAATTCATTCACCTAAGACATTTGATATCTGTAGGAGTTAGAAAGTTTGTTCAAGAAATAATTCGATAAGGTGATGAAAATCTATGCGCCACAAAACTGTGAATCCAAAGATGGGAGCACGCTGAGTGTGTTTTTATTAAATCTCCTGCAAGACTTGTGAAGGTTGTTTGACCTGTGTGGTTGAAAGCGTTTTCGCTTTCTTTTCCTTGTCAGTACGGCGCGTCTTAACACTGGTGAGGTGGGCGGTGATTTTTTCTTTCTCCTTTTTTTTTTCCTTTCTTATCCATTGAAAATTACTATTTGATCATTTCTATTGTTGATGTTTAAACTCTATAATATTTTGATTTTTAATTTTTTTTTCTGTTAGTTATTTTAATTTTTTTATTCAATTTTAATTTATGGTATATTTTTTTTGTTTATTGGAAAAAAATTTATTTGTTTTTAATTTTATTATTTTTATGGTAAATTGTTTTTATCAATTTGATTTTTATTTTTAAATTATTTTTATTTTTATGTTAATTTTGGTTTTGGTTTTTTTTATTTTTTTACTAAAATGATTTTTCTTTTCAATTTTATTATTTGATTAAAAAAATATTTTTATTTTTATGTCAATTTTGGTTTTGGTTTTTTTATTTTTTTACTAAAATGATTTTTCTTTTTAATTTCATCTTCTAATTAAATATAAAATTTATTTTATATTTTGATTTTGATTTTGATTTATTTTATATTTTGAATCCTTTTATTTAATTAAAATTTTTATTTCAATTTTATTTTTTAAAATTTAATTAATTGAAATTTAAAAAATAATTAATTAAATATATTTAAAAATTAAAAGGGTTAGGGCTGCTATGATAGACCTTAAATGTACCTAGATTTAAAATTCAATGCTTGCTCGCCTTGTTTTTTTTTTTTTTTAGAATTTGTTTAGTTTGGAGGTGTGATAATTTTTTTATTAAAGGTATAATATTTTTTAAGTATAAATCACATCTCTAAAAGCTATAAAAACATATTCAAGAAAGCATAAGTTACTTTCCATCCAAACACCTTAAATTAGTAGATAGCACCTAATTTATCCAATTACTTTTTTAATTGATAAGATAACAAATGTTCTATATCCACACTACAAGAAAAGTTGGTAAAAACTACTTTTTACCCATCACAAATATAAAATCCATCACAAATATAAAATTCATCACTTTTCCAAACACACTGTACACTATTTCTGTAATCACCAGGATAATCCATGTTTTCAATTCAAAAATTTAAATTTAAATTTAAATTTTTTTTTCCCTAAAAACCTTAGTTATTATAGATAGTCTGACTTGACAAGTTGATTTGAGATCCAATAATTAGACTAGTTCGAGTATAGTAAAAGACTGGTTAGGACAGCAACCTAGTAAAACTTGGTTGACCTAGCAGGTCAATTCATGACCTAGAAGAGACCCAACATGTTTATTTTCTATAATGTGAGATTTGAAACCCATGAGTATATATGCTTTAAATTTTCAAGAAAAAAATTATGTTTTTTTAATGTAGAATAAAAAATCTTTTGGTTTAAATACTTTAACTTAAAGGAATAACATAATATCTTTTCAATGTAGGATTCAAAACTCTTTTGTATATATATTCTATATTTTCATAAAAAAAGTTATTTTTTTTTATTGTGAGCTTTGCTCTATGTTCTTAAGAAAAAGGTTATATTTTTTTAATGTGAGATTTCAAAACTCATTAGTATATATATTCTATATTTCCAAGAAAAAAATTATGTTTGTTCAATGTAAAATAAAAAATATTTTGGTTTAAATACTTCAACTTAAAAAGATAGCATAGTAACTTTTCAATATGGGATTTGAAACCCTTTTGTTTATATACTTTATGTTCCATGAAAAAATTTATATATTTTCAATATAGGATTTAAGACCTATTAATATATATATATATATATATTCCTAAAAAAAAATTATATTTTTTCAATGTGAGATTTGAAACTTATTAGTATATATATTCTATGTTCTCAAGAAAAAAGTTATGTTTTCTCAAAGTGGGATAAAAAATCTTTTGGTTTAAATACTTCAACTTCAAATGATAACATGATATCTTTTTAATGTAGGATTTGAAACCGTTTCGTATATATACTCTATATTTCCGAGAAAAAAAAGTATATTTTTTCAATGTGAGATTTGAAACCTATCATATATATACTCTATGTTTCTAAAAAAAAAAGTTATTTTTTTAATGTGAAATAATTTTTTTTGTTTAAATACTTCAACTTAAAAGCTTAATATAATATCTTTTTAATGTAGGATAATTTTTTTTTAAATATTCTTTTAAACTTCATTGTTTTCAAAAGGTATAACTTATATTTACATGGATTTTTTTATATAAAATATTACAACTTAAATTATTTTTTTTAATTTTTCTAAATTGACCCATAAAACTCAAGACTTAGTCCCTTGACTGGGTCAACCTCAAACCAGTTTTAATAATTATACTAAAAACATAATAAATAAATAAATATTAAAAACATAAATACACACGCACACTTTGAGAACCTCAATAATTCCATTTCTAGCCTCCCGAAAACTCTTTATGATCACTCTAAAAAAAAAAAAATTAAACTGAAACTGAAACTAAAACTATTTTATGGGCCTTCTACATTTTTCAGCATGTTCAGGAGAAAAAACACTTCCATTGAACTCTCATTTTAAAAACAAACCCGCAGACATGAAGAATGATTGAATGTAAAAGAATGAAGTTTAGGAACAAAACATAGTATATTGAAATACCAGGGATCAAATATAAAAAAATTAAAAATTAAGAGATCAAAGTGTAATTTTACATGCCTTCTGAACATTAGAGATGGATGGGAAAAAGGTTGGGTGTTTTTTGTTCTTCTTAATTTAAGTCCTTATTCTTTTGATTTTCTCGCAACAACTGAAAATTCTATTATGCAAAATTGACCTCTTATTTAATGTTAGAATGTTTTTTTACATCACGGTGATGGTATCAAAACATTAGAGATAGAATATTTTTCATCTAAAACAAATATAAAAAAATATAAAACCATGACAACATAACTAGGACTAAATTTAAAAAAATCAATTATATAAAAAAAAGATTAACAATTTGAGGGATTTAGAAGGAAATTAATCCAATAAACAGAGCTATGAATGAGAGAATGAAGAGAAGACGCACAGTGAGGTTAATGTTAACGTTAATAGTTAATAATTAATAGTCTTAATCTCCGGGAGAAGGCAAATGATGTCCTTTGTGCTGCAGCATGCAGGCTCAGGTGCATATCAGCATTTCCAATCCAAAATATTATTTTAAAAAGCTAAATGAATAAAATAATATTTTAAATAATAAAAATATAGCTTATCTTATTATATTTATTTAAATAAAAAAAAACCATTTGAAAAGTCATTTATATTAAAATAAAAAAATAAGTGTTTTATTATTTATATTGGATAAAATAAATATTATTTTTTTCCACATGTCTACATTTAATTGTTCTATTTTTTTAGTGGTCCCACTTTATTGGTTTTAACTCTTTAAAAAGATATGTAGAAATAGCATTTGTGGAAGAGAAAAGACATTTTAGCATTTTGTTTGGCTTTCCTCCTAGAGTGTGCAAAACAAACAAAAAAAACTAAAATATTAATTTTTTATTTTTAACTATCCATTTAGCTTCTCCTTTAGCTTCTCCTCGAGATGCTCTCAGCTTCTTAATCTGATTTCTGAGAGAAGATTATTTAACCTTCTTTAGCCTGTTTTCTGAGAGAAGATTATTTAACCTTCTTTAACAATAGCCTGCAACTCCAAGTGGAGGCCAAAAGTCCCACCATTCATTGTCTGCTAGCATTCATGGATGACAACAAGCATGATGTTACTGCAGCACAGCTATTTCTAACCTATCAATGATAACGATAATAATGCTACAACAAGAACTGGTCTGTCCCATGAAGCTTAAAACGAAATTCAAGCGGAAGAATTTTGATATTTTTTTTTATACTTGAGTACCTTTCATGAAACTATTGTTTTCAAGATTTTAACCAGTCCCATGTAAATCAGTTTGCCTTTTCCATTAAATAATAAAATGGTCCCCAGTTCATCGAACCAACAATTCTTCCATGAAAATCTTTAAGCCCATCACGTATATCTAAAACTGTCCTTGTGTTCGTTCGGCTTGGGAATGGCCCAGATGACTCGAGCTGTTCCCAAACTCTACCTAATGGAGACCACATCTATGAACAGACAAGGAAGAAAGCTCCAGATGCTTCCTCATGGGGCATTCTCCAGCTTGCTCCAACTTTTCATGACAGTCAATATTGTCTGGGATGTTTCTCTTCATGATGATAGGTTCCCCAGTCCCCACCCTTGAAAATGCATCATGAGTCGCACGGAATGCGTTAAAAAAACAGGAATGCCAACTCCTCATGACCTGACACTCTTGCTATTTTCGTTTCTTCTGCTACATAACATCATCAATGAACCTATCTTCGCTTGCAGAAAGTAGGTCATGTCGTAAAAGCAATACAGGTGTTCAATTACTAGTCTTGACAAAAAAATTTCAAGGATGCGCCATTTGCAGCACAATTCTTCACCAACTACAACCACACAAAATGCAATCAAATCAATCCGGCCATCTTTTTGCACCCCAGTATAAAACCTCGTGATAGACCGACCAGCAAGTGGTATAAATTTGCTATCTATTCACCAAAGAATTCTCATGCAGGCTTGAGAACCTAAGAATTCCCAGCAGGCTTGGGATGTAAAACGGCAATGATGCCTCAAACAAAGAAGTGGTATCACATGCTAAGTGGCTACAGATAACCAATCAACTTAAATCACCATACTGGCATACTCTCTTTAACTAGGAGTTACAGAATTTGCTAGCCAGAAGGTGGGTCAATTATCAGATTATTAGCGAGGGCAGTTGCCATGAGAATCATAATATAACTCTACAAGGACTCACCAACTCTACAGTAGCTAATTATATAACAATATGAATTCGAATGTAGTTCTATAATAGCATCTTGTTCGGAACTGTCACTGTGTACTAATAAGAGCTTCTTTGTCGGATAACACGATAAATAATACATTGGAAAATCTCGTTGTAACTTACTTGTTTCCCAGATGCTAGTTTGTCCCCAAAAGAGAGCTTCAGTGCCAGAGTGATTGCATGGTATTTCATATTTTTGTTTCACCTGTCAGCTGGTCCAATTGGCAGGAAGGCGATCAGACATAACAGCAGGCAAGGCACGAACATTGATGTCAAGAGGAAGCAAGCGATATTGAATGTCAAGCTCCCTGAAAATCTTCATCATCTCATCCAGCAACAGAGATCTTCTTATAAACCTCTCTCCCATGTCTTGGTGGTTCATCCTATGTGTCAACCAAACTGCTATCCGCACCCTGGTCAAGTCTTCTGCATCCTTGAATATAATCAAAGGGGAAGGATACCAGTGGTCCTTTTTGCTTTCAATATAACTGCAGTGACAGATGCAAGGTTATTCTTAGCATAGATAATCAATTAAAAGAAAATATCTATTGAACCAAGAATCTTAACAGAAAAGAAAATTAAAAACAAAGATTCTCACTATATGAACATGCAATCATGCATATATGTAACAGTACTTGTGTGTATCTGCTGTTTACCAAGTTTCTAGGTTCCAGTCAGTCAATCAACAACAACTAAAATTTTCATGGATAATATCCAGCTGTACAATAATCTCCAACTCATTCAAAAGACAAGTATATTGGATTTAATCTTCCAGAAGGCATAAATTTACGAGGGAAAAGTGCTTTCCGAACAAAACCACAACCTGAAAGAATCGCAGCTATTGAATCTGTGGGCTCCACATGTGGATCCCAGAAAGCAAGGGATGTGATTATTATTTGCCAAGGTTTTCATGTTGCATAGCATGATTTATTTTTTAATGTAACTTTATTAATGTGTTCGGATTTAAGAGAACAAACTGTTGTCCAATCAAATGTTAAAATATCATTATCACTTCAGTAAATAAAACTTGACAGGGAAAAAAAAGCCCTCCCATTTATGTGCTTACCTGCTTATTCTTTGTTTCACAATGGCGATCTTTTCAGCTGGAGTAGCTAGGTGGATGAGGAACTCAACTGCATCTCCCATATCTGGGCTGCGGTAGTAGTTACCAATGGCTTTGGTAGCAAGAACACTGTTTGTAATTATTATCTTCTGGTTGTCAAATCTTAAAAAGACAGTAGTTAAAATGTTCATCTCTTCTACCACCATCTGAAATTTGTTGACAAACAAATTAGGCCCATAATATATAGAAGTCAAAATTTCTGTCATGGTAAATCCATGAAATTGGGATTCAGTTCATATGTTAGCTTGCATACCTGAACTCCATCTATTTCACAGCGATCCCCCACATCAAATGGATGGATCACAAACAAGAAAATAATAGATTCAAACACGGTTTTGCAGGTGTTTCCAAATATGAAAGCCACGAGAAGGAGTTGTGAACTTAGAAAGAGGAGAAACTTGCTTGTAGCAATTCCTAGTATAAGAAGCCAAATAATTGCTATTATAATCCCAACCAGAAAGTTCACCATACGATGCAGTTTGTTCACAGCTGTTTTTGTGTCATTGAGTGTCAAAGCAAGTGCTCTCCGTTCTCTGAAAGCATTGACCTGACAGAATCATACAGTGCCTTGTCATATGACCATAAAATAAAAATCATGCAAGAATATGCCTACACATGACAGTAGTTTGAACAATTACAATCCCATGATAAGAAAATATGGAAGCAGACAAACTTCATAATTATCCAATCAAATATGAGTCTGCAAAGCAGGCTTCCTTTTTGCATAATCCATGACAAGAAAATCCTCATTTAAGAGAGGAGATCATCCAACTGAAAAGAAAGTGGTGGTGTATACATAGAAGATAAATAAAGTTATGCATCCAGGAAATCACAATCTTAGTTTAATGTGAAAAGTGCATAGAACCGTTAAAAATTTACATTATTTCAAAGACAAACATCTAAAAATCATGGAGATTTCAAAATTTGGAGCTCAGACTTTAATGTCCAAACTTTGACGTTCTTATAGACCTATGAATTGTTGAAAGGTTCCCAGTCTAATCCCATAAATTTACGAGTTCAGGTGCACTTACTACACAATTAGATACCATGAGATATTTGAAAACTCTACAAGCAAAAGATAATTCTAGAACCTGAGAAGGAATACAAATTAAAAGGAGAAAAAAGGAAAAAAAAAGTATATTATTACTTTGTTCTTACCACCCAATTTTTCAAACATTTTTTGCTGATTTTGTTGCTTTCACATGCTCCCTCAAAGAGGCTCATGGCTTTTGAAGCCTCATCTTCTTGCATGAAACGCATGATGTCATCCAGGTAGATATACCTGCATGGTAAAGTAATGACAGAGGATCAACACAGGATGACAATGGTACCACAGAGAAGAACAACATCATAGAAAAACTCAAACAGTTTCTTTTTACTTATCAAGCACCTGTCATCAGAAACCCCGATCAAGTATCTCTAGTGTTCCTTGTCCTAGAAGACATTCTATGATCCGTAGATAAAAAAAAATTACATAGATTTTTTCAAGCAAAACTGTACAGAACAATACATCTCGCATCATTCACATCAAAATGACTACTTTCATATCAAAGATAAATCCGATCGAAACTTGGAAATCAGTTAAATTTCATATAGCAATGCCCAAATTATCCAACAAAAGCTGAGACTCGTAGAGCAAGTCAGATACTAGAATAGAGTGAAAGTAGATTAAATCAAACACGCTAACTATATTGTAAATGCAGAAAAAAGCAAGACCAGACTAGACAAAATTTAAGAAAGGACTCAAAATATGAAAATTTGGGTGGAAATAATGACTTACCGAGACCCTTGCCTAGCAACATTTGTGAATATGTTCCTTGCTGCAGCTTTTGCCTCAAATTCGCTTCTAATCTTTGTAGCTGACTCTTCATCACCGTGATTAGAATTTTGTATCTGCTCATCCAGTGTGGACAGAGCACCATGTCGAATTATATTCACTAGCCTCTTCATATTCCAAGCAGAAACATTCTTAGGATTCAATTTGTGCAAGTGGTTGATTGTTATCCCCTCACCTTCCTCATCAACCTTGTTGGAAAGTGCACGAGAAAGCTTGGGGGTACCAATTCGAGGGCTTTTCTGGAAACTACCACTTCCTATCACCTTTGCATTCTGTGGTGGTGACGGGCTCGCTGTTGCCTTAAGGCCAGGGGGCACGGTGGCACCTGCATTCTGCAACTTTTTTACCTCTGCAAGAAGTTTCTCTTCCTCCTCTTCATTTCTTTTCATTTCAACCAATGGGGGGCCAGACAAGGTTTCGATCACATACTGATTAAACAGCGACTCCTGAATCCGATCAAAGTAAGTGCTCACATGAAATGAAGATGCAAGTACTTTAACCACTAAGGTCTTCACCAACCACAGCAAGGTACCCACCACTAGACACACCAAAACCTTAGTCACAAACCTAAGTGTCGTACTCCTAGTTTCCCTCTCAACTCTTTTGTCAAATAAGTAGTGCCAAGCAATCAAAACAAGCCCTAACCACAAACAATTCTGCACAGCATTCCTAATTCCATAAACAAAATATAAAACCCTTTTTCGCAAAAGAAAATTTCTCTCGATGAAAAACACAATAATCTTAATAACCCAACCAGAAACCAGTCTCCCACAAATCAAAACCAGAACCAAAACCTCCCATTTCCACAACCTAAGTCTCCACAAATTCTTAGTTCTCAAATATGGAATTGCAAGATTACAAACTAAAGCAGCAATAATAACAATCAAACTCAACCATTCAAGTAAAATCCAAATATCAAGCTTATCTTTTTTATACTCATCAGGCAAATCCTCTTCCAATAAAGGGTCATCTTCCTCTTCATCAACAACACTCCCTTTCCCTAAAAATCCAGACTTCAACTGCCCTGACCTCCCAACAACCACTCTCCCTGACTTCTCCGGTGGATGCGGCGGTAGGTCCATCAATCTAGACTTTGTCTTCTCCTTCAACAAACTAGACTTCCTCTTAAACGAGGAATTGCTACAAAACGATCCGTCGTTGCTAGAGCTACACTTCAAAATCTCACCATCACCATTATTTTGATTACGTGGAGAAGAATTCTTGAGGTCCCTTCTCCTCCTCAATGACTCACTTGAGCCGGGTGGGTTTGGATCAAAAGAAACCCGATTCGTATTAGTGGTAGGAGACTCAGAAACAGGACCTAAATTCTTATGAAGAACAACAGTATCGTTTTGAAGATGAGTCATCATCTCTAAGTCCATATCTAAACAAAACTCACCTGATGCTTTCTGTCTGTGCAAGAAATGACCGATCAGCTTCGAGGGTGGATCTTCCTCCTCCATTACTGAACCGCTATCACTAGCACTAGCAGTAACACCACTGTTACTGTTCTGATGACCATTAAAATCAAGTTTGTAGCATCTACTTCCATTAGTAATGGTACTGTTGTTGTCGCCATTCACGAGAGGTCGCTTGTCCTCGTTATTTGCATTGTTCAAGAAATCATAGCTTGACTCCCTCCAAATTCTCCCTCCTCCTCCTCCTCCTCCAGTGTTGTTGTTATTTGACCCCACGTTAACACGTTCATCACATACCTCGTCCATACTCAAAATCACATCTTTCTGATCAGTTGAATTGAGGGCCATGATGGGTTATTATTACTCAACAGTGAGAATATAAATAATATAAAGTGATAATGTGGAGCTAAGGAGGTGGTGTTTGGAACGTCAGAAATTGTGAGAAAGGAATTTTGTTTTATAGGATTCTTAGCAGTGAGGACGCGTGTATTCATAGGGTGAATAAAGAAAGCATTGAAGTTAACTACTGCTGTTGAATTCTGCAAAGAGAAATAATAAAATTATCAAAGACAGGGAGAAGTGGAGGGAGGAAGAAGGAAGTGTAACAGGTGGCCCCTTGGGTTTTGAGCTTTCGAAGACTGAAAGCGATTGTATGTGGGGGGGAATTGATTTTGTGTTTTGGGGTTCTTAAACAAAAACCCTAGTTTCCTCCTAAATTATGAGGTTGCCATTAGGTTTTAAAAAAGGAAATTACGAAAGTTTTCTCTTCTCTTTCGGTTTTGGGAGAATTAACTCTATAATTTATGCCTAAACTAGAGCTGTGAATCTTTAGTTTATATTTGATGAAGAACGCATTAAATCTGCTTATAAAAGTATATATTCTCGTGAAATTCAAAATGCAATTACACGTGAAATCCTAGAAATTATTCGAAAACCAAACAATTTTCTCTCCGTAGAAGCAAAAAAGAAGAAGAAACTGCAGCAATCCCAAACGAACCTGCAGCCATGTTTATTAGCTTACGCGGGAAGAGAAAGCAAATTACAAGGGAGTTATTGGAAGTTCATCAAACCGCATGCAATATGGTGACACTCATTATTATCTACAGAAACGTATTCAATGTCTTTAAGATCACTAGAAACGCCTTTTGTGTCGCGCAAGAGATGGTCACAATCACATGGTGACACAATCCACGCAGATGGGCAGTTATGATATGCTTTTAAAGTCGCCCACCACAATTCGCAATCTCGGCGACGGCAATAAGAGGACAAAACAAAAGAACAAATGATTTGGGCTTTGGGAATGTTTTGACTTGGTGTCGAGTTGGCAATGGTTGCTGCTTTGCTTGGTGTGAAACCATGATCCTTCGGGCATGGCAATGTTCTGTTTGTTTTTTATTAAAAGTGTTTTTAGAATTTTTTTTTATATAATTTTAGATGATTTTAATATTTTAATATAAAAAATAATTTTTAAAAATAATAATAAAATATTATTTTAATATATTTTAAAGTAAAAAATACTTTTATATTAATTACTGCTACACTTATAAACATACTTACGTGATTATATTAATTACTGCTACACTTATAAACACACTTACGTGATTTAAAGTATTTTTTAATTAAAAATATATTAAAATAATATTTTTTTTATTTTATAAAAATTATTTTTAATATTTAAACATTAAAATTATCTAAAAATATAAAAAAATAAGTAAAAAATTCTATATATATATATATATATAAAAACATAATTTCATCCTATACAAACCATGTTACGATAGAAGGCCTTCCACTTGTATTTGTTAGCGGCTACAAGGGAGCAATATTCGTGATGTTGACAAGAGAAGACACTTGACTTGAAAGGGATGGAATATCAATGTCTTCTTCCTCCTTTTCTTTTCTCCACCATGTTAGAAAACCAAACCAAGAATTTTGAAATTGAAGTGGGATGGTCTTTTCGCTCCCTTCCTGTTTTATATATATATATGTATATTCCCAAAGGCATGGTGTGGAAAGTAGGATATGCAAAATGCTACTGATTATAATTTTAAGTAATTCATATAATTTTTAAAGATATTTATTCCATTATTTTATTTTGTGAATAATATATATTAAATTCATCCAAATATACTAGATCAATGTTGGGGATACATTTTTAGAATTGTTTTAGGAGAGATTTAGCTCTGATAGCATGTAAGTGGATTCAAGAATACTTTTATTGTTGAATTAAAAAATAATTCTATAAGACTACAAAGAAATATTATTGATGGTTTTAGCTACCAATGATGGTTTTGATTCCTAATATGTTTTTTTTATTATATTTGAGTTAAATTTTGAATAACAAAATTGAATCTATCCTTTTGATACAGTGTATAGTGTGGATAATAATTAAAGTTTCTTAATCCCTAAAGTTTTAGGATCCTAAGTTGTACAGAAAAAAAAAACTATAAAGAAAACCATATTATATTTATAAAAAAAAAGTTTAATTTCATAATAGGAGGGAAAAAGAGCTAGGCATCTTTATTTATATCAATCTACACCAAAAATCTTTATATAAAAAAATGATTTTTATTAAAAGTTGCATAGCTAATAGGATCCTATCAGAATTAGAATTCCTAAACTGAACATATCCTTATAAATCTTTATAAATTAATTATTAATTATAAGAAAGATAATTATGCCATAAAATTAAAAAAATCTGGTTTTTGTGTTGAGCTATTTGTACTGCCTCTTGAGACCTTATAGTATCTCATATAGATTCTAGTTTTACATTGCAGAATGAGTTATTATCATCTCTGACCATCAAATAAAACAATCCTTTTTTAATATCGATTAACTTAGTGTGCATAGAAACTATGATTCATCAATTCAATAAAAAAAAAATAAAGTTCTGAAACCCTAAAGTTACAACTTGTAATTATAAAGAAAACCATAATATATGGAAAAAACTTTAATTCAATAATATTCAATGAGAAAAAAAAAAGGTTATACATCACTATTTATATTAATCTAAACCTAAAATCCTTATAAGAAAATTATTTTTCATTAAAAGTTACATGGCTAGATAATAGAATCCAAACTAAACCCTTATAATTCTTAATACAATAAAAATACTTATACTATAAAAATTAGCATCCCGCGTCACTATTCACTCCTAGCGAATACACGAGAGATCTATTTTTCACACCAGCTACATAAAAAAAATCAAGTGAAGATAACAATTTTTATTTTATTTTTTTCAAGAAGAGATAGTCAAATCCAAGCTCAATTTCAGTTAGCAGGGCATCCAATCCAGAAAAAAAATGTGTAATTAAAGAGAAGTCCGTTTAGAGTCTTAACCCATTACTAAAGGAGCCCACCCATAAACATTCAGATACCCCACCCTCTTGCAATGCTGTGACCCTCCCCGGTTAATTAGGCAATTAATTTGTAGATAAGGAAGGTAATCAACATGGTAAGATTGTAGTACTGTTCGGTGAATAATTCCTCCAATCTTGACGGGTTATGGAATGCAGCATGTATGCATGCATATATGGTGAAAAAGATCACCTTGAGAAACAAAAATCTCAAGCTAGCTCCTCTCTTGCAGCCTGTAAGAAACCCAGAAGGGAGATTTCCTATGAAACACATGGACAGTAAACAATGATGCAGCCTTTAGATTATTCTCTGTATCATAACCTTTTGCCTATATGATCATAATATAACTCCAGTAGGTGGAAATACTAGTTACCACTCGATGATACTCCTCGAAATCGTTTTTGGATACAGAATGGGGTGTATACTGCAGATTTGGTAAAAAAATATTGTGATTTTCTTAGCAGGAATAAAGCTTAAGGTTCTCCTTTGATGATGAACAGGATTAGTCTGTGAAACTTGAAACCTAACGCGAAAATGGTCTTGTTCTTGTTCTTGCCACGTGAACCAACCCACCTTCCTAGTTTAACAGGTGTTTAAGGAAAGCGAATTGCTGATGATATTAGCAACCTCGTTTTCAACGCCCAAGACCAAAAATCCAACCTTAACATGGAATCCACGTTTACCCCAAGTAAAATCACAAGACATCCTTTATATTATTCATTGCATGCCCAGTAGCCAGTAGCCCCTCCTGAAGATAATGTCTTCTCCTCGTGAGATTGTCCTCACTAGCTCTCCTGATGGCCCCATTACTGCTTATGACATCTTCTCAGGCACCACCCTAGCTCGCTTCTCTGGCAGCAGGTCACCACGCCATGGCCTTGTCCTTGCAGGGAAGGCTTATATTGCTGCCTCTCATATCTCCTCAGCCACTGCCTCAGGCTCAATTCACCTGTACAATTGGTGGTCCTCGACAGCTTTTCACCATCTGCCTGTCCCTGAACCTGTGGCTCCACTTGCTGCCACTCCTGATGGGTCATTTTTATTTGCTGGTGGCGTTTCTGGGAATGTCCATGCTCTTTCCATCCCTTCAGGTAACATTCTGAAATCATTTCCCGCCCACACCAAACCTGTATCCTGCCTCACAATTAGCAATGACGGGTCACTTCTAATTTCTGGTGGTGATGATGGTACCATACTTGTTGTGCCAATCTTTCAACTTGTTGAGCAAACAACGGATGGGAATTGCAGCGACTTGATGTTGCATGGCTTTGTTGCACATGATGGTCCAGTTACGGCTATTACTAGTATTGGGTTATGCCACTATACTGTAATTTCATGCTCAACAGATTGCACATGCAAGTTGTGGAGCCTTTTGGATGGAACAAACCTGCGCAAAATTACATTTCCATATGCAATTTCAAGGATTGCTTTGGACCCAACAGGGACAGAATTCTATGCTGCAGGGGCAGATGGTTTGATTTACAAGGGATTTTTGAAAGTCGGGAGCAGAAAACAAGCGAGCCGCATGCTTGAATTGGCGATCTTGGCTGACAAACATGGTGGACCTATCATATCTGTGGTGATGATGAATGCGGGGAAGAATCTTGTATCTGCTGCAGAAGATGGGAGGGTGTATTTGTGGGAAGTTGAAAGAGGGCAGGTGATTAATGTTCTTGGCAATAACATGGAAAGTATAAGCGATCTCGTTGTCGCCAGTGGGATTGGTGATGCTAGAAGACATGGTGTTAGAGTTGGCGATAACATGAATAAATCTGTTGGTGGAGGTATTGTGCTATCTGGAAAAGAGCTTACCAGATCAGTAAAGGATACAGTAGAGATAGAGGATGCCTTATCTGTGGCAGCAAAAGATAGGAGCAAAGCCATTGATATGCTGGAGTCAGCGATTGGAGTGTACGAGAGACTACTGGAACTCATTCTCAAGGAAGCCAAGGGAGGCACTAGCAGGAATAGCCATGAGGACAACGGTGACGTGTGAACAGATTAGAAATTACACAAACCTAAATGGAGTAGGGAAATCCATAGGCCATAGCACTTGTCATGTGTGCGCAGCGCTAAATTGGGTATATTAGCTGCTTAATAAAAGCCTAGTGTGTAAAACGTTCACATAAATTATTTGTCACTGTTTCAGCTATTCGGAGGTTATGAATTCAAAATTACATCGTTTCCGTCAGAAAATTGCCACAGAAGAAGATTAAAAAACCACATTGTCCAGTTGTCAGTCTGATCTCTTAACAAAGGACTAATGCATCAGCTAATAAGAATAAATATACAAATAAAAATGGAAACATTTTGTATCTAACCATACAAAGAATATTATCCCAAACAGATCCATAAGTGCTTGTAAATACCTCCTTGTTTGGCACTCTGTTGTAAAGTAGCAGAGAGCTTTGTATGCAGATCACCAAACAGTCAACAATCTCACAGCTTGAAGTGAAACAGGGCATTAAACTTTATCAGCACCTGATCATGCTTTGTTTATCAATAGAACTTGCGGGTGGCTGGAATGATTTTAATGCTAATATCCAAAATGCTCAGGCATTTGTATTCCGGTGATTCATAGATTTAAGCACCCCATTTTTGGAGAATCACTACCTGCATCAATATTGCTATAATGCTGCCCACGGATATGTTGATGACATTGACAGCATCATTGTTGAGCTGTGGAAAAGGAGCAGAAGCATCAAACTATATAATGTACGAGGCTGAAGTTTATTGGTGAACACAGACTCAAACATCCTATCAAATGATTGATGAGATCCTGAACCTAAGCAACATCAAGCCAGGTACACACTGGCTGCAATAGAGTTTTCAATACTCGACAGGGTGATGAATTATTCCAATAATATGTAGAAACTCAGAGAAGTGGAATATTCTTTCTTAACATGCCCATTTCATAGTGGAGGGTCCGGACAAGCTAGGAGCCAAACAATGGCCTCATTTTTTTATTACTCTCTGGTTAAAAGAGGTTCCACAATACAGCATGTATATCCATGAGGTAAATACAAAACCAACTAGATGCTTAATCTCAACTCAGGTGATAATCCTCTATCCCAAGCTAGTCAGGTAAGCTACATGAATCCAAATTTGAATTCAAAGCTAACCACAATCTAACACAAATAATTAATTTAAGGTTCAAGCTGGTTAATGGTCTCCAAATAGTCACTGACAATCATGTGCAACCCACTCTTCCACACAACTGATAAGAATTCAGAACATATATTAAAAATAGCAGAGAAACATAAAAAGTACAATTGCCGGCTGTATTCCACAACGTGGTACACCAGCGACTGCTGAGTCTGAGCCTTCTACGGCTGCTGGAACAGGGAAAAGGGGGTGAGTTATGGGTAAGTGGTCCTTTAAACTCTCCAATCCTCCCTCATGTGAGACAAAAAAAAGGTGCAATATGAGAAATTAAGTTATCTGTTTTTTGATTGCTTACCCATTGAAACCCTTCTTTATCCTGGAAGGCTGCACCTATTATGCTCTCACCAACATTAGCAATTTGGGAAGCTATCACACATATAACTACTTCAGGTACATTTATCTGATCCATAGAAAGGAAAAGGAGAAAGATCAGCAATATGTCAAAGCAGTTACACAATAAAATAGTGTGGCATGATCTGATCGAGATTAATAAATAATCTGAAGAAACAGCATGCAAATGTTGTCAAAATGGTTGCACCTACCTGTTAAAAGTCTCCTTGAATCCTGTTCAGACAGAGGATGCTCAGTTTAGAAGATGAAGAGGCTGCCCCTATTTGGCAGCCCATCATTAGACCAAGGGTTCTCTGCTGACGCACCAAAAACATCTTTTCATGTTGATAAATGCACAATGCTTCTTTCAAAATCAAGTAACTTCCTAATTCTTAGAAGGGAAGTTTTTCACTAAAAAATACCTTTTGTTCATTCTTTAAATTTTAATTGTTTATGTCGAATATAGGGAGAAGGAAGGTTTAACTAAGGGATAAGTTGGACCATGAGTATCATAAAAGCCCAATTCAAACCTTCCATAATGAAGAAATATATCTAAAAGAACTACAAAAAAAAAAAAAGCAGTATCATAAAAGCCCAATTCAAACCTTCCATAATGAAGAAATATATCTAAAAGAACTACAAAAAAAAAAGCGGGGGTAATCGTCCTCTGCAGATAACAGGAGTGACTCCATAATACTAAGTTCCTTCCAAATCTCTTTTGGCAAGGTTTCCACCAAGTTAATCTTTTTGGGCAAGGCTTCAGAAATAAAATGGCGATCATAACAAAGAGCTAACTTTCTCATAGCAATCTGTGGGATTGGGGGCAGAAATTAAATGGAGAATATAAAGATCTATGGATCAAGCTAAGCTGTGTTTTTAGATTTTACATTTGACAGTAACTATCAGGCACTAACCTTGCTATAACAACATAATCTGCGAATATGAAACTATGATAATGCTACTAGCATAAGGTCACGAAACACTCTGTTGATCTCCAAAGCAATGTGAGAAAGAAAAAGAAAGAGGCAGGAAAGAAAAGCTCACAGTGCTAACAGCCATTTGGTTGTACGTGCAACAATTATTTTCTTATGCTTATAAAGAATACAAGTCAACCTTAAGAAGAATAAATTATACATATAAAGAGTCATTTAAACAATAAAAAAAGGTAGTGCATAATTAAAGACAAGATGATAAACAATACCTCACCCATGAGACAACCAACGGAGGCAAGAAGTATAGAGGCCAACAATCCAGCTAGTGTTCCCTCAGCACTGACAGCCCCTTCTGTTCCCCTTGGAACTACCTTAAATGTTGTAACAAGGTACCTACTCAAGCCACATAAAAGTGAAATTATAGACTTCTTACAGTCCATAGACAAAACAAAAGATTGAGAAAGGCATCAAAGAATTTCATTAAAATCAATTTTTTTTCCTATAAAATATGAGCTTCACTAAACACTGAAACCCTTGAAAGTGCAATGATCAAATAACAAGAAATAATTCCAACCAGCATTTCTAGATTATCAAGTTAGGCTCTCATAAAAATTCTAACCCTCATAAACTAGTGTAACTACAGAATGTAAAGAATTACTCAACTTGAGCATGCAATTGTGTTTGGGTGTGCAAGAACATGTTGCCTCATAGGAAGGTTTCTATTTATTTTTTTCCTTTTTTTTCTATCAATTATAAATTGGATAATAAAAAATGAAATACAATGGATATGAGTCATATATAACAAAGCACTAAACACATTTTACAGGTAAATGATGCAATACTGCTGATTGTCTTTGGGATGGCATAATACTACATGCTTTCTTTTCAAATGAATGAGAAGAAACATAAACATATGATCTGATTATGCTTATTGTACATGTCTCCAATATTCCATAAAAAAAATTTAGAATTAGGTACATGTGCAAAGTGCACAGGCTTGACGTCATAATTACCTAGATAACATATAGAAAACCTACCCATTTGAAAGCTTGCTTTGACCATTGGATGAGAAAAGAATTAAGCTTACAAAAGCTTTGAGAAAGCCTACTTCATAATATCTTTATTTACACTTCCTCTATCATTCATGCTTTGTTATCTAAATTTTATACATTTTCTTTTCAAAATTCCTGCTGTTAAAAAATGTAAATCATAATGGGAACATAGCACACATTCTTTTGAAAACCATCTAAAAATAAGAAACGCAAACCTCAAACATAAAATTATTATCAAAATAAGGTAGTTAATCATTGAAAAGTTTATTCAATCAACCATATCTCGAAAAATAACCAGTCTATTTCTTATGTAGTTTCGTTGCATCAACAGCCCTCCTTGAAAAGGTTAGCACATCAATCTAAAGTGTACCCAAACAATGCACACTACATACGCAAATCTTCTATTCCATCTTTTACTTCTAAGTCAAACCTTAGTTTCTTAAATCAGCCCTAGTTTTCTTATCCCAGCTACCTTCTTAAGCAGGATAGTCCTTGTCTCAAGGCTTACAAGACTACCATTAATGCAACTGCTACCAATGGTCCCAATTCAGATCCGACTAGATGATCAAACTTCTAAATCATCTACAAGTACTGCTTCTAAGTTATTTCTGGAGAAGCTATGGCCTATAAAATAATGAAATACTAAATAAAACTGGCTGATGACTGATGCTATAAGTAGCAATAGGTTAATGCCATTTAAAGCCACTGAATTCAAAATCCTTCTTAATCATGAGTGACCGAATTAAAGTCTAAAAATTCAGAATGGACTGCCAAATCCTCACCAAAGAGAAAAGCAATACTTACGTAGTTTTGCCATATGCCTTCCCTATCTCACTTGAGACTGTATCACTCAGCTTGGTACAGAAACTGGCAATAAACCCAAGTCGCCAAAGTGCAAGAAATGCCTCATCCCCTAATCGAAATATTGACAGAAAAGCGCACACACAACCAGCAGCACTTGAACCAATCACACTGCCTGGTCCTCTTCTTCCCTTCCTCTTCTCAGCCACTCCTTGAGCTTCCTTCTGTGCCATTTTCACTTTTGTAGCTGCAGTTCCCTAACAGCATAAATTAACTGAATCCTATTAAGAACAAGGTCTTACATAACAAAAAAAAAAAAAAAAATTGCAATTACTGATAAACCACCCTCTAAATCAGGCATTTTGTTTAGTAAACAATCGGTTTCTAAAAGTAATCTCTAACTTTTACTCTTCAGATCTTGCACATTAGAAATACAAAATAATATATAAGATTGGAGAGAGAGAAAAGAAAATCAAAATCCTACAGAATATTTTTAAACCATTTAAAAGAAATGAAAGGAATTACAAATTAAACCCAGAAAGGACCGAAATTTAGAACAAAATAACTAAAAAAATCCAACACAATGGCAGACTGGAAAATTAATTCTTACACAAAAAATGAACCAAAATTAAATACACAAACTCTAAATTGAATAGAGTCAGAAAAAAAGCTCAAGCAACATAAACATGCATAAATATTATACAAATAACTAGAACAGACAAAAAGGGCATAAAATGTAATGCCTGAATCACTAAAACAAAAGGAATTCAATTACTTTAGCCATTAAAAAAAAAAACCAAAAAAACGAATCACCAAAACCCAACAAAAACAACCCATAACATAAATCAATTTACATGCAAGTAAAGATTCAGTCCTTTTCTTTTCCAACTCGCAATAATAAAGTAAGAGGCAACAAGGAGGAACCCAGAAGGACCAAAAGCGCGCCATGTGAGAGTACCCAACAAAAAAGCAGCAAAAATCCCAGAAAGAGAGAGCCCAGATACCAAAATTGGAGACCCAACAAGAAAAATAGAGAGATTACTGAAAAGCGCTGATTTCCAAGTGGGGGGTGCTGATTGGATCAATCTCATAGCCTCTGATAGAACTCCTTGCGTCGAGATTGCATTTGGTCTGTGAGGGAGCATTTTGTTGTGGGATTTAAGTGTTGGGATTGAAGTGGGGATTGAAGGTTTTCTGGGGTGGATTTGAGATTTGGAGAAATGGAGAGGAGCGAAGAGAATTGGGTGTTTGATGTGGAGGAGTGTCGAAAGTGCCATATTTGTGTGTTCTGCTTGACTTTAGTTGGAAGTTAGTGAAGCGAGAAGCGTGAGTATTTGAATATCCAAACAAAACTGGGTTAGAGCTCCGATTTAAGTCAGGCTCACCCGAATCCCGATTACTCCATTTCTCGGTTAAACTCGGTTAGGGTTAGAGGTAATTATTTTTTATTTAGTTTGGTTTTTATAAAAGAAAAGGTAAACAAACCAAATTTTATTAAAAAAAATTAAAATTGGTTCAAATCGACCGGTTTTGATTTGGTTATTAGGACAAAAACTAGTTCAAACAGGTTTGGTTTGGTTTTGACTCGGTTTTTTTAGGTTTTTTTTTGTTAGGTTTGGTTTGATTTATTTTTTTGATTTTAGATTTATAAAACTAAAACCGAATCGAACCAGTCAGTTTTTTTTAAATTTCAATTAGTTTTTTTAATTTTTTTAATTTTTTTAATTTAATTAATATTTTAATTTTTTTCCCTCACTTTTAGTTAGGGTTAAGGCTTCAGTCCCGGTAATAACTGATAAATAAGTAATATCTATTGTTTATATGAAAAAAAATTCTTATAGCAATTAAAGCTCAATCTAAAACTTGTCCTTATCTTTTAAGTTTTGGGCCGGTTCCTTGAGTTTTTTTAAATTAGATTTTGTTTTTCTTTGCATCTTATATTTTAAAAAATATTATTTTTTTAATATTATTAGATCATTTTAATATGTTAATATCAATAATAAATTTAAAAAAAATAAAAAAATTATTTT